GGTCTTCCAGAGTTATTTTTTTTCGCTGGCTTCTCTGCCTGTTAAAAACGCTCATACCAGCACATTTCCAGGATTTAATGTCAAAACACAAGTAGCAGCTATTTGTTTTTTGTTTTTTTTTTAATAAAATTGAATAAAAAAAAAAACTCTACCCAACCCCTTCTTCAGCGCTCTGGCATCAACTGCTGCACGGTGCTGCCAGAGAGGGACGTCAAGTCCGCCGTACTGCACCCGGACTGTCCGAGCTGTACTTTAGAAATAAAAGTATTTTCTGCGAGCAGAGCGGTTAAGACGTATAAAATCGTGTAAATATACATCTCAGTGCCAGCAAATACTGAGAACACTGTCTGGGTGATCGGAATACTTTCTTGAAAGAAGAGTAGTGTAAGCGTAGTTCAGTATATGTGTAAACTTGGGGAAGTGTAATTTGAAGGTGTGCTTATTTTACCGGAAGTGTTATTGTACTTACAAAAACTTCACGTGATGGACGTGAAGAAATGTCGCGAAGCAGCCGAAATGTTCTAGATGGGGCGCGCACGCACGCGTGTCTCTGCAGTATTACACTGTAATGTGTACACATAATAGTGTATGTGCGTGTAGAAAACACACACACACACACACACACACACACACACACACACACACACCTCCGCCCCCCCATTTTTGCCTTACATACACCTTACACACAAACAGTGTTGTGTGTAATGAAATTAAAGAAAGGTGAAAGTGAAAGAGTGAGAGAGTGTAAATTCAATGGGCTTTATACTAATTAAAATAAATTCACCCCTCCCAGTCTGTGTGATGTTTTTACAAACACAAAATTGTTCACCTGCAGATCATGTTGATTTCACTGTCAAAGATTCAATTATTGTCTGTTATGCTACCTTACTGGATTGTACAATTTCTACTATTGGTTACTGGTCAGTGATCACTGTGTTGTCAGCAACATCAGAATCAATGTACATGTCCTTGGTTTTTGTCATTTAGCTTGAAAAGGCTTTCTTGAAAATAATTAACAACATTTAATCAATGTGCAACAAGCTCCCTATGACACCTGGAGGACAGTACAGACACGTGTCTGTTCACTCTCATATGGAAATATTGCACTTTGGTTACTTTTAAAAGAAAGATTTCACACAAGGAATTATATGCTAAGCTTTTTAAAACACAACACAATAATAAAGATTAAACCAGTAATTTCCAACATTTTTGGTTCCTTCCAAATAGAGATGTTCCCTCTAAACTTGTCACATGGTTTAATTTCAGTAAATGTTCAAATCATACAATATTTCACCTAAATTTTAAGATCAGAGAAAAAATTTCTAAACCTAAAACTGATTTGTGTATCAAAAATTAGTCTTTCCTTCCTCCTTCACTTTTTAATCATGTGACGAGCCCTCAGATTTATTTAAAGCTGTATATTAGGTCATTCAAACCGACTCCACCTGCAGCAGCTACAACAGTAACATGTTGCTGACTCAATGATGATTCACTATTAGTAATCTAATGATGTCACATAAAATAACATATCAGTCAGAGGGACCAAAGCAGAACTTGTACTTTAATACTTTAATTAGATTTTGTTGCTAATACCTTTACGTAAGTAGGATTTTTCATGTTGGACTTTTACATGTAATGGAACATTTTGACATTGATCTAATGGAACGTTAACTGAAGCAAAGAATCTGATGACTGAGGAAGTAAAAACAAAACTGGATTCCAAACGATAAGAGTCAGGTGATGTTAAACGCAGATAAAAGTCTACAAATATCCCCCGAATCTGCTGATCGCAAACACAAACCTATGTACCATAGGTTCTATATTCTCAAGATATTCAGTCCTTTGCAACATTTGATTTTGATCACATTTTTTAATTGATTTCATAACTAACAAGCTCAGGACTCCTGGCATGCAGTCATTTAAAGACTGAAGGTAAACTATACATTGTTTCTGTAGTACATAACACAAATGAGGTCAAGCAGTTCAGAACAGCAAATCGAAGTCTGACAGCCAGCATTATTCTAGTTGTACAGTGTTTAACTGGCGGAGCTACATTGAAACATTGAGTTGGGTAGATTAGATCACTGTGTTGAACCTTATAGTCTTATTTTCTAATTTTCAAAAAAACTGCTGGCGTTAGATAAATGTAGAAGAACAAAAGCATAAAATACAAGAAAATGTACATTAAAAAAACAATAGCATAGCACCAAAAATGAGTAAATTTACTTATATTATGTTCAGATCCAGGTTCTTGATAAAATCTGCCATTTAAATGACATTCAAATACAAAGAGGGTAGTCACGTTAAGTAGTGGTGATGAATATATGAGTTCAAACACACACACACACACACACACACACACACACACACACACACACACACACACACACACACACANATACACACACACACATATATGCACAGGACATTACACTGATTTACATTAATTTTCTGGAAACTTACTCAGACCTTAGCCGTAACTACTACTTGCCTAACATTAATCTTAACTGAAACATAACCTTATTCTAATCTTAAATATACTCTCACCTTAAAATGAAAGATTTATACTGAAAGGACATTATTTATGTCCCCATAAGGAAGGCATGTCCCCACAATGTGACTGTGGACCTAATTCAAGTCCCCATCACACGCACACATAGACATACAGTTTGTATAGTAGAAATGTACGTAGCCCTTGGTAAGGCAAAATAAAATATTTTAACCTCAACAAATAATTGCTTCAGACACCGAATCAGATTTTGGCAAACTACATTAACACACTTTCATTGTCTGTTCTGGAATTCAAATGCAAAGAAAATGAAGGTGATGGCTCGTTTGACATTTTCTTAGAGTTTTTTATGGTTGCTTGAAAATGTCAAAACACAGCTGTTTGTCTTTTGTTCCTGCAAGTGGCAATGTAAAGGAAGAATTCTAAACTGTTTTCACACTGAAAAGCAGTGATAAAAGTCAGTAGCCTATTTTCCGCATTTACGTAACAGCACATTTGTCCCATGATAAACATCTTTCAGGTGTCTATGAGTCTATCTGCTACTTGAGAATGCAGTGTGTCCTGCCGCGCTGGTTCTTCATGGGTGTTTTCCACCTGTGACTTACACAGTGTGGACTGACGTCTCAGAGCAGGAGGAACCTATTTAGTCCACATTATTTTACAAATCAGAGCACAAGCAGCACAGAGTTAAAAGAAGCAAACATGATGCACTTGCTGGGAGTAAGTAAAGACCTCTTTACACATTATTTTAATTTTATTTAGCAGAAAAGTGTCTCTCCAGTGAAGACCTAATATAAACTTTTTGTGCTTCCAGATTGTTGGGGGCCTCCTCTTCATCATAATATGCTTTTCAAGAGGACTAAAAGAGGTGAGTGACCAGTTACAGTGTTTTACTTGCACACCATGTAAGATTTTCAGTTTTAAATTGTTCTGATAAACAATAACATAACATAACAGACTAATCTCAATGTTAATAAGGCAGAAATTACTAAAAACTGCACTGCAGGTTTTGGAGAAGGAGGCCAGTGTAAGGACATAGGACACAAAGTACGATTCTCTGAAATGATTGTTCTCATTAACAGGAGAAAAAGACTCTGAAGTCCCAGCTCCCTGAATTCTCTGTGAACAAGAAGGTGAGTAGGTATTGAAAAGCAACCCTCTGAACCTTGTTTCTGGGTGTGTTTTGCTCCTGTTAAATTTTTTCTCACTGTCGGTTCATTTTTTACTGCACATTGTTTACAGTGGAAACATCCCAACCAGTGAGAGAACCAAAAAATATCTTTTGTGCCATAAAAAAATGGGAAAAAAATACTTTTTTTTAAAAATGAAAAAATCTGGAATCAGTAAATACAATATTTTTCCAAGTGATGTTACCTACACTCAGAAAAAAAGTGAAGCCTCTAAATGCTAGATATTTTACTTCTTACATTGTTGATTTGTTTTTGCCTAATGTCTACTCCATGTAGACACAACCTGCAGCTCAGCCAAGTTCAGCCAAAAAGTCCCAGAGTTTTTGTTATATGACTTTTGGTCACAGATGAGTCAATAATAACTTGTCAGGTTCAGCACAGAATTTTTTCTGTTATTTACAGAATCGGGATGGAGCAAATTATTTATTTTTGGTAAATGTTTAAATGAGAGACATGTAGAATTAAATTATTTTTATAGAGTACAGCAATTTTAGGCTTAGATTTAGTTAGCTTTCCAAATGGAATCACATGCTACATGTCATATGTTCAAGAACTGTTGGAAAGTTAAACATGACTTCATATTTTCTTCCTTTGACAAATTGTGAAATGTTGGCATGTTTTTTTTAAATGACAACATGTCTTTTAAACTTATGAGTGGGTTTTGGGATTTAAAGTGTTTAATGCCATAATTATTTATAATAATTCAGCTGAAATATCTGACCCTTATCTCTTCAACAGAAGGACCTGAGTGAAGAAGATGTGCATTTATTGGCAAGGATCCTGTCAGTTGGATTGGTGGATGCAGACCCAAACTACCTCCAACATCTTAAAGGCTACAGAGACTTGCGAGGGGGGTGATTTACTTGTAAAAAAAGTTTCAAAAATCAACCCATCTAAAGTGACCAATGGACATGCACACACAGCTGTTCCTGGCGTCCTCCAAGGATTTGTGACAGCATCAAATCAAGTCTGCTGAGGATTGTGTTTTGGATTACAGATTATTTTTGCAACCCTTCCAGATCTTCCATGATCAGTGGGAAAACATGCACTTAATTTAGTGAATTAAGAAAAACTGAACTGTGCTTTATATAAATGCAATAATGCTACAGCTGGATCCTGATTGCTTTATTGTTATTTATTACTTTTCAACAATTTCCCTAAGGTTTCCACCAAAGGGATCAATAAAGTTCTATTCTATTCTATTCTATGGCTGGTTGCTGGGCTTCAAATCTGTTAGTTTGTGGATTAAAAAAAGAGAGAAGAAATTAACAAAATTAAACAGTAGACACAGGAGGTTTAACTGTGTTGTCAGTGGAACTTGCTTTATTATGCTTGCTTCGATGCTTGAAATACATTATGCAGGAGCCTTGGAATGGTAATACCACTCTGTTGAGTTGTAAAATGAATCTGCAGGGGTGCAATGCAGAAAGCAGTTTATGTGAAAATTACTTTGCTTTGGCTGTCATTTTTTTCTTGTCCTTGCCTAGATTAAAGGAAACAAAAGAGAGAAAGACAATTTAAATGGACAAAGAGCGAGATTAAAGACAAATGAATGATCCTTTGTTTGTCTGTGGTTGTAAAAATAATGCCTCTTACTCCAGAAATAGCTGTTGAGCTTGTCCCCAAGCAGGTAGAGCAAGGTCACTACCGTCATGTTGAAAAAGAAGAAACCAACCAGACCAGCTGTACTGAAGTGCCCAAGAAGAGGATAAACCCAAATGCCAACTGATAAGTATACCCATCCAATCCTGCAGAAAATGTTCAGAGGGGAGAAAAAAATGTTGTCAGGATCATTGAATCTATCAGATCATCTTGTGTTGTCTTGTTTCCAAATAAATGTATGTCATGCAAATATTCACTGGAACTGTTTCTACCCTTTGACACAGATCATACTGATTACTGTGACAGTAGTGTAACAAAAAAGTCTCAACATACGGTGTGTTTATACTGAGTTCTATCATGAGCAGCCATTGGGTGCACTACAGTATGTGAACCAAAACCGTTGAAAGGTCAAAGGAAGCTTTTACCCTCAGGCTGCTTGAATTGTGAGCTGGTGCACCCTGATGTGCCGGATTAGTCCAGACTAGTTACAGTAGCAACATATAGACAGAGCTGGCTTTCAGATACACTAAGACAAGCCTCAGTCAGCTTCAGATGAGGGATATTAAATCAGGAAGGATTCAAAATACTGTGATTGAAAGTTGTGTTGTGATTCTATGGCACATCCAGACTCAGCACTTACCAAAATAAATAAGCCGAACCCACAACTCCTAGTGCTGCCAGCGCATTCTTAGTCTGCGGGTAGGTGTGAGGCTGCACCAGCACTTCTCCAAGTAAAACAGGAAGGACAAAGGTGTGCTGAGAAAACAGGATCTCATTAATGGTTTGAGAGAGTCAGGATTATTTAAATTCTAATAAGACATTGCAAAATAATGATCAACTTTGGCAAATCACAGGATTACAGACCACAGCGTGGTTTATCCAGGGAGGGATGAAGGTGTCAATAGTAGCTGGGTAGACTAATTCTCTGTCATAGGCAAAGATTGACCAGAAAAGTAGAACAACAAACTAAAAAAAAAGCAGAAAAACACAGAGTTAATTCAAATGATTAGACATTTTTTGGGTACAAAAAACTGCAGGATTTTCCAAAACTGGTTCTCACCATGCCCACGGGGAAGGCAAAGACAGAGAAGAGGAAGTCTTTCAATCTTCTCAGACTCCTCTCTGCTGTTTTCCCAGGCTGAAGATCATTTACTGCTGCCAGGCCAAAGAATACTGCTTGCAATACCTGAAATATTACATGCAACTATTATTATTTTCCTTCTACAGAACATCAATATTTCACTACAATAATACATTCATGTACTCACCAAATTTAAAAAAGTGAGGTACTTCCACGGTCCTCCATATACAAAGATTCCTGGTGGTAACTCCTCTCCATCCTTAGCAATGAGACTCTTTAAAACCAAAGCATACCAGCCGAATGCAGCGATGTGGTACACTCTCCCCAGAGTGGAAGTCATTCTTAATGTATTTTTTACACTGATCTGCAAAACTACAAAAATAAATTAGACGCTGCTGAAAACTGATGTGACAGTGCAAGCGTTCCCAGCAGATGTGAGTACTTCAGTAAAGGTTCTTTAAAGATTAGTGAACTTCAGCATAAGCTTATCAAGACATTTGCAAGCGTGGAAGCAAAGTGAAGTTCAGACAAGAGGTCCACTGTTTCTAATAAAGAATAGGCGACCTTTCATAATCTATCAACTGTAACATGTGACCGGGACGTCATTTCATTCACAGTGAGAGCCTAATCTGTTTCATAGGATTTCGCAAGAGAAGCTCCAGCAGGTTAAGTAAGTGAATCAGTTGAAACAAAGTAACTAAATCAGTTTCATATGACAAAGGAACTCACAGGACTGATTAGACTTCATTATTATTATTTTATGTGTTAAAGAGTTTATAAGAGCTCTTTCAAGCAATCCTCACACGTCACTCTATCTAGGAAAGCATGTGGTGATTAAAGTCCACAGTGTGCTACCAGCCCGGTGAAGATGTAATGCTTATTTCACATCTGATAATAAAAGTATAAATTAGTTTATGTATATTTATATAAAAAGCAGGCCAACAAAAGCAAATTTCTGCTTGAGCTTGGCGCTTTGTATCTATTCCTAAAGATTTTATCCTTTAGTGAGCGTTAAGCGTTCATAGATTTGTGTAGAAGTGACTTGTATTTGGCCTGAAGGTGGCGCTAGAGGAGAGGCCATCATTAGACTGCAGGGCTTCAATGATATAACCACAATACAGATTCTTACACAAAATGTAATGTTATGCAGTCAACCATGGCACATGACCAATTCTGAGCATAATCAGTGAAATGGAAAAAACCCCAAAAACAACTGTATTATTAACTTGTAAGTTGGTCACATTTGCATCTTCATAAGTTAGCTTTATTAGGCAGAGAAAATGAATTCAAACTGGGATTTCTAATTCTCAGCCAGGTCATACAATTAAGACAAGCCTCAACTGTTTAAGGCCTAGTTGTGCATGAAATCTGTTTCCCAGAAAGAACTGTGAGATAAAAATGTAAGAATGCCCTTTTCAAGCTATCTATTCTGTCTCAAGTGTGAATAACCTTAATAGAGACTAAATTCCATTTAGCTGTTTCAATTTTAGTGTCATGGTATTGTGCCTACTGGGTCACTGTCACGCTTACATCACCGCTGAAAAGACTGGATCTATTGGTAACATCATGATGTTAATTACTGCATGTGTTTTTTCTGTTATGACCAATCAAAATGTCCCAATACAGGAAAGAGTATGTGTAAATCAATACAAAGTTGTTCTGATTGATTACAGTCATCCTGAAACGAAGCATTTCTATCTTGATGGGAATGCTGTCTTCCAGGAAGAACATATTTCTATTCATACAGCATAAAAGGTCACTGAATGGGTTATGAATGGAGTATGAAAATTGTTAGATTTATATACTAGGGACTTTCTAGATATCAGATCACAACCAATTGCACACTGATTAGAAAAACTGCGTTTTCCGTCACCATCATAAAACACAAAATGAGGGAATATCTTTGGAAAAACTGTGTTTATCCCTCCACATGTCAATGTAAATAACTGCACCGGTTTAATTGCTCTCTGGAAGCACCTTCAAGTACCACAATTCAACGATTAATCGAATCCAGCATTTCAGTGTCAACAGCACCCTTTCAAAATCCACATCAACCTGCACAGGTGCCCAAAAGGGATGTGTCTGCTTACAAGTTCATTTTTTTTAATGTTACACACAAATAAGTGTGTGCAAAGTCACCCTCAAAACTACATATTTAAAATTTCAGATGACATAGTTGTTCTCAACTGACTGCACAAGGACACCAGTTCCTCAGTGTTTCACTGAAATAGACAAGTTTTATGCAGCGGTATAATTCCAACCATCTCTATTTGTATGTGAATATGTTGGCTCTGAACCTTTGGTCGGTGTGGGACTGTAGTCGAGTGGTTATTCATGATGAACCAATCAATCAGATCTCCAGGTACTTGGAAGAGGAGAGCAGAGAAAGAGAGAGAGAAAAATTTCTTCTCAACAAGGCACTCCTTAGATTAAAATTAATTTATCATATTGACATGTCCTGGCTCGACTAAAAAGATTAAAAACTTAGAAAGATCCCCACACTTCTACAAAAGGACTCCACTGGCGACTTAGTCTAGTCCATTGATTCTACCTGTGAAGAGGCCTGTCTTTACTGTATAACTACTCAGAATACATCAGTAACAACAAACGAAACAAAATGTAGAATATCAAATTTTACATTTACAATTACAATAATATAGAAACTAAAATACAGAAGAAATAAACCACAAAACTAAAGTGAAAAAAGCCTATTTTTTTCTACGTCATTAGTAACTGGGATGGCTTTCAATTTCCAAATCCAGAATGTTTCATGTTAAAGGGGCTGTAACATGAGCAGCATGTCCAAAACAAATTTCCCCACTGGGAAAACACAGTTTATCATACTGTTGCATGAAAGACAAAAAAAATCAGCTCACAAAATATTTTAGAAATTTTATTTGCAATTTGCAAGTGCTACTGAAGACACATGTCATGACTCTGTAAAACTATAACTTTAAAGAGCACAAAGTCTACATAACATTATGTAAATATAGTAAGTTGTCATGTAAAAATTAGTGGGTCAGACACACTTAAAGGTTGGTTCCAGCATATTATGAAAAACACCTCCATATTTTCAGGTAGCTTTGGCTTTACATGGTTAAAAAATACACTTAAAAAGTTTCATACTTTGTTTAACAAATCTTTGGGTATTTTGCATAAACTGACTCATTAAGGCAACCAGATGCAGCCTGGAAGATAGACATTTAAAGTCAATGACTCCTATGTTCAATAACAAGAACAAAATTCCATACAATATGATTTATACATTAATATTGAAGGCACATCATTTTAAGCTGCTATTCAGTTTTAATCTTTTTTTTTTTTTTTTTTTTTTTTAAAGTCATTAGGATTAAATTTACAGTTTTATACCAGTATGGATGCAAGTTCATAGTACATATCCACTTGTTTAAAAATATATGCAATTATCAACATCTTTGCTTAACATGATTGTGAAACACTATGACACAAACAACAGTGTATTACAGTTTTACAACCTCTGACTACTATAAATGCAACCTATTACACTTTAAAATCACAGGTCTCTAAACCAGCTGACATTGTCCTCAGTGTTGTAAAAAGAAAAAAAAAAAGAAAAAAAGAGGCAAGGACAGGCTTCTTCACAGAAACTATCTGTTGCACAAATTGCACTTCACCCATGTAGTCAGTAAAAACATGGTCGATCACATAAATGTAGTCTCAGTCTGGGAACTTTTTGCCCTGGTAGTGACTTGGTGATTCAACCACAGAAGCCCTTTGTTGAACATGGCACATTTAAGTCAGGGGTGTCCAATCCTGGTCCTCGAGGGCCACAATCCTGCATGTTGTAGATGTTTCCCTCTTCCAACACACCTGATTCAAATGATCAGCTCATCATCATGCTCTGCAGAAACCTGATAACGATCCTGATTATTTGAAGCAGGTGTGTTGGAAGAGGGAAACATCTAAAACATGCAAGATTGTGGCCCTCGAGGACCAGGATTGGACACCCCGATGTAGGTGGAACAACAGCTTTCCCTTTCAAGTGCAACATCTCCAATCTCCTTACTCTGTGCATAATAAAGCTAGTTTTGTTGAGAACCAAAGAGGAATGTCATCATTTCAGCTTCTTTGTTTCACTCCTTATGTAAACGTACTGTATCCACTGTTCGCTTCACCTTCTTTGGATCCTATTTAAGGTGCCATCTGTCAAAATGAGAGACAAAATGATTTACTACAGAGGCTCCCAAATGTGTATTTAAACTGCTAACAGCAATGCTGGTGATATATTCTTACCTCAAATCGACTGTAAACTTTCCTCTCCTTCCTCATGCTCTGAATCCTCTCCAGCAGCTTCTCACGTTCTGGGCTCGGTTTAGCTGGCACTCTGCGAAAGCCTCTGTACTCTCTTTCTTTCTCTTTTTTGGCATTTTTGTCAGCTTCGTCTTCTTTCTCGTCATCAGTGACAGGACACTCTTTGGTAACGGGAGACTCTTTGGTGGCTGGAGACTCTTTGGTAGCCTCGTTCCTACTTTGGCTATTTGCAGAAATCTGCTCTAGGAGCAGTTTTGTGTCGTCTCTCAGGTTGCTGCTTGAGAGCACGTTGGCTGTGGATGAGTGGTAGCGAGACTGGCTTGATTTTGGCTGCTTGATCTCTGTCGATTCAGAGCCGTTACTTTGCTTTGCTGGGTCATTTGTTTTTTTGCATCTGACAGACTCCTTAGTGTTACTTTTATCGATCTCATTTGTGTCCTCGGTATCTGATTTTTTCTCACCTGTGTTCAATATTTCGGGCCCAATTTGACTGTTTTCAACAGGTACGGGCTGCTCTAAGGTGTGGCTTTCTGAAGTCTCTGATTCAGGTGTTTTGCATGGTTGATCAGAGGCTGTTGGGGCATTTGAGGTAGACTCAGTTGGGCTGGAGGGAGATTTAGTTATTACGTGTGGTGGAGATTTATCCAACTCTGATGGACTTTCACTGGGAAGGGAGTCTGTATTTGAAAGACTGTGCAACGTCGACAAGTTAGTTCCTGTTTTTTTAGCCTCAGGAGACAAAACTGATCCAACTGATTCAGACAGAGGAGACCATGATACTGCTTTGGGTGGAGTGGGAGAATCGGATCCTAACACCTTAAGGTCGGAGGGAGGGGCGGCTTGTACTGGTGCGTCTTGAGGAGATGCAGGTGTTTCCGACTGGGAGTCTTTAGGAGTTAAGTCTGTATTGGCATGTGAGCTTGTTTCTGATGGCAAATGCTCAGGTGCAGTGTCTGATGGAGTGGATGCAGGAGTTATAGTCTCTTTTAAATCAGGTTTGGAAGTAGAGCTTTCCAGACCAGAGACACTAAGTAAACCTGATTCCATGGACGAAGAAGTAAGACTAGGAGGCGGACTGTCATCTGTAACATCCTTTGATGATGCGAAAACCTCAGATTCCTCTGCAGTAGTCTTTGGAGAGGAGTTAATTTCTGATTCAAAAACATCTTTTTCTGATTTAGAAACATCCTTTTCCAAATCCGAAATGGTTTTGTCTGATTCAAATATATCCTTTTCTAATTCTTTTACTGAAGATGTAGCAGCAGAAACATCTTCAGAGGTTGTGGTGGACTCTAATGAGCATTTGTTGGGCTCTGAACCAGCAGCGCCAGCATCAGGAGAACTACCAGATACCACGTGGGTAAACTCAACTGCTGAAGGGGTCTCTGATGACGACAGTTGGACAACTGAATCTGCATGAGTTTGGTTACTCAGATTTTCAGATTTTTGTGAAGTTTCCTCAGATGACTGGAAGGATTCTTGCAGTGAGGAGCTGACAGAATGCTGTGTTTCTATTTTATCAAGATTTGGAAATGACAAATTGGTGGCAGGAGTTGAGCTGGAATCTTCTGGGATAACGTTAGAAGACTCAAGGTCTTCTGCTGTGGAAAGAGGGGGCAAACTGAAGGATAAGGAATTGGGACTGTTCTGTGAACCAGAATCTTGCAGACTGTGATCAGAGGAAGAGCTTTGAACGGGTGGGTTAGAGGAGCTACATTCTGATCCAGTGTCTTTTTCAGATGGAGAAGAGCAGATGTTGGTTTCTAACTGAGGATTTTGAGTGTTTGAACCCAATGCAGACAATGACGGCACTTCTACTGAACTGGGAGTGACTGAATTAGACTCATTTGAGGTAGAATCAAGGCTTGGGCTTTCACTTTCATCAGTTCCTTGTGCAAGAGACGAAACAGCAGGAGCAGCATTAGTTGGTGTTGGTGAGTGACTGTGGCTACTCTCTTTTACAGCAGGATGTGACAGATGTGGTGATTTGCTCTGAGGTGCATCCGCTTCTGAAGAAACAGGAAGGACTGCTGACTGTCTGTTCTCAAGCGCTTTCATCTCTGAATCAGTCGAAATTTGGGTTTGTTCTGATTTACAGCTTTGGAAGGTTTTGACAAGACCGTCCTGCTTGTTGCTCTTTTCACTGGTATCTACAGACTGACTCACTGGCTCCCATGCTTCTGCAGATGCCATCTTTCTCATACCCTTTGAAGCAGCATGTTTTTCTAATACACCCTCAGATGTAGAAGCCGTGATTTCTTTTGGTGCAAGCTCTTCCTTTTTAACATTGGTGTTGGTTTTCAGATCAGCTGATGGTTTCATCTGAGCCTTTTCTTTGCTCTTTTCAGCCTCTGCAGCTTTAGCGGCTTTGCGTTTTGCTGCCAGCTCTTTGAAAAACATGAGCCTATTATCAGGATCATTCATATCTACAAATAATGAAGTAGGGAGCAAAGGTTTAGGTGGTTGGACTGGTTGGTCAGTTCTGGGTAGCTCCGCTTCAGAAGGCTTGGATTGAGGCACTGATGGTGAAAGACTAACTTGCTCTACATCTGGCAGTTGTACTGACTCCTGTGTCGCAGGTTTTTGTGCAAGATCCTTTGAGTTCTCTTCCTTTGATGAATCTTTACTGTCCAATTTACTGCCTCCATCATCTGTTTTGGATGTTTCTGTGGAGTTATCAAATGTGGATGATTGTTTGTAACGACTCCATTCAAAAGGTTCCCTTGCAGTCTTCCTTTGTCCCAAAACTTGAGAAACAAAAGGTAGTTTTGTTGGTTCAGGTTCATTTTTGTCACCTTCCTCATCTTGGTGATCTGCTGTTGGAGCAGCAGTTTTACTATCTTGAGGAGTCTGCTGCTCCAGAGAACTGAATATCAGAGAGGATCGTAACCTGGAGCTCCTTGGCACTGCAGGATTGTATTTCCTACGGAAAGACTCGTCCCTCCGAAGAGCAGCAGTTGCAGTCTCCTTTTGTTCTGCCTCCTCTGTCTTTTCCACTTCAGTTGTGGATGATGATTCTGAAGGTGTTGGTGTTGTTTTGGTTTCTGCTGCCACTGCAACAGGTTTATCTGGCAATTTATTTGGCTGCTCTCTGGCAGCTGTTTTGGCATAATTTGGAATCTGACTTGCCCTGGGTATTGCAGGAACCTTAAACTCTCTGACATTAGGTATTTTAGGAACTGTTAGGTCTATGCCTGGTGTTGGCTGTATGGGGTTAGAGGGATGTTCAAAAGGATCTGGTGCCTGAAATGGTGCCACGGGCAGGTTTTCATCTTCTGGGTTATCATATGCACTGAGGTATGAGCTAATCCTCCAGTTTCTCAGGCCACGTTTCACCATAGGATCCTTGCGGTCAGCAGTAGGCTCTTGAAAAAATTGTTTCTGATCAGTTGGGTTTGAAGGAGTGGGGGAGGTTTGACAGGCATATGACTGGCCTAAACTCAGTCTTCTTGGGTGAGATGAACTAAATGGCAAATCTGCTGCAGGTGGCAACTTATCTGAGCTCTGGTCAAAGTCTAGATTTCTGGTGGAAGAAAAATAGTTACGAATGGGGTCAAAGTTATCAGATGGTTTCATATCTTGTGGTAAACCCGGTTCAGGGTACTGATCTGCTGTATGACAGTCTTGGTTCCAGAACTTTTCATAGCCACTATATTCTGCCTCTGGTCCTGGTCCAGGTCCTTGTCCTGGTCCTGTATAAGGCTGCAGCCCCCTATGAAAATGCCTTCCCTGGGACTCAGAGTCTGGCATTCCCTGTTGCTGCAGGAAAGAGTATCTACCATGACCACCTTCAGCAAAAGAGTGGCGTTTAAAGGCAGGATTGTCCATCATGAGAATCCTGGAGGGACCCTGATCAAAAGGTGGATCCATGTGTGACTGCTGAGGGGGCAACCTACTGTACATGTCTGTAGGGCAGCGCAGTGGTTCCTGCCTTTTATGGGGCTTCATCCTCCAATCCCCTTCCATTCGTTCCTCGTAGGAATGTCTTGCCCATTCATCTGAAGGATCAGTGTCCAGTGATAGAAACTTTCTGGTATCTCTGTACAGTGCAGTTCTTTCACTTGGGTACTGCCTCTTTTGCAAAAGGCTTACATCTTCCATAGGAGGAAGCACATTTTCAATCACTAGCGGTTGAGACTGAGCGAACAGAATCCGAAACTCTTCATCAAAGGTTGTCACAAGCTGTCCCAGGAACAGGTGTGCCATACAGCGGTGCAGCTTCTCAAAAGACCACATGAAGCTTGACAAACACATGACAGTAAGTGGGAATTAATACATATTCATTGCATATTCATGTCAGTTTTTATACAAACAGATATAAACTGAACACAAACAAAATTTAATTTAAAAAGTATCACTTAGGTCCTTGAGTTGTATGAAGCATAGATCTACCAGTCTACAGCAGGCCTCACCTGTAATTTCCACTCAGCACAGCCCTGCAGTCTGTTAGTAAGAAGCGATCCATCATCTGACCTTTGAAGGTTTTTCCTGAGCGGCACTGATACGTGATGCCAGACACCGTTCTCACTCGTAAAAACTGCAAGACACATGACATCACCCAAAAATGACTGATTCTGATTGCACGGTTTATTTGCAATGCATGCTAGGTGGCAGCATTGCATTAGCACTGCCACTTCTGAGATCAGGTTACATAAAATGGCTACACTCAAATTCAAATTCCCCTTGGCAGCGATATGCAGTTCATGTGATTTCTATTTATTCAAAAGCACGTCCATCTATTGAGATTTATTGTACCTGGTATGTCCCTAGATTCTTGGGACATACCAGGTACCATAAATCTCAATTAAAAGCGATGTTTTGTAATGTGAATGTGTCAGTTTTTAATTTAGATGGCTAAATATTAATCTGAGCAGAAATTAAAAAAACAAAAACTGAGCATTGCAAAGGTCAACAGAGCACAGAGTTACAGGTACAAACAAGATGCACAATTCACACACACCAACTGCTCACTGCTTTTAGCTCAGTAATAGTACATGATACTGTACATTTCTAATAATAATTCTCCTAAGTCAGCTAAGACTTTGGAGATAATATTTCCAAACAACACTGTTTATGAAGAGATGTGGACAGTGGAGTCACCTCTGTCAACATCTGTGCTGACCTACTTTACTTATGCTTATCTTTCACAATATCCCTCCGTGGGGAAAAAAGCTGGAGTTATTCAAACTTTTTAATACTGTCAGCAAATTCCACGAAAAGACAAAAACCAACAATGTTCCAGCCTCTCCAGACTTTCCAACTTCCACACCCTGTCTGTGATTGTGCCGATACAATTCATTTCAACCGAAAAAGAAACATCTTTCAAAACAGCCAGCAAGTATACACTTAAATCTCCTCAAAAACATCCTAGATTCATAATTTCATTCAACCAAAGTAAGTAGCACATTTGTTGGGGACTATTTTGAGCCATGGATCAATACACATGCATACTGTATATGAAGTAAAACAGCAGACGTGACACTTCCTGAGTTGGGAATGGAATTCAAAGGTGTAAGCAGTCTTGTTCATTAAAGCGTTTAAATTAAAGAAAAGATCTGTTACAGCGCCTGCAGCAAAATGCAGTACAAAAAATGTGCACTCACTTGAATGCTCTGCAGATTTACTCTGCAGTTGGAAACCATGTTGATGAAGTGATGTGCATTCTGCTGGTCTAGAAGGATGTAGACAGCAACATTCCTCATGGCGGCATTGACAATATCCACAAATATGTCGATATCAGTAAACATGTCCATCACTATGGCAACAACCTGAGGAGATTAGAGTCAAGAAAAAGAACAATGTGACACTAAAACTGTCAGGAGCATGACACGTCAAAGAACTTGATGACGAGAAGTATCTCAGTGTGAGGAAAGTAAAGGCCAACCTGTTGAGCGTTCTTGATGAGTCGTCGTGCCTGTTCCTTGATACTCGGCATGTTGGGCTCAGGAGGGTTGACCAGAGTGGTGACCTCTGTGGGCCCGATGAAGTGATGCAGCTGAGGCCAGCCAAGGTCCAAATCTGGGACATCCAGGTCAGAGTTAAGGGGCCAGTAAGTGTCTGAGGAGCCATCTCCCCCGCTCTCCAGGAAGGGATGCTCAGGGTGGTTGCTGTACTGAGAATCCTGAACAGAGCTCTGAATATACTGGATTTCAGGTGTGGACAGAAAGTCCACCACATCTGCTTTCTGCAGGAACTGATAGTATCCCTCCAAGTCCTCCTCAATCAGTGCATCAATAGCCAAGCGGTACTCTTCCCTATAGTGAGGAGGGAGGTAGTTGGGGTCCAGGGGGTTATCCCCAGCAGAGGAACATTGAGAGCGACGCGCCATACTGTTGTCTTAGGAGACGACAAAAACAAGAGGAGGCATGCGATGAATATATTGTACAGGTAAACAAAGACGCGTCATCTGTCCCAAATTTGGAAAATCTTATCTTACAGCAGAATAAAAGAAAACACACTAAATAACAAATTAAACAAAATAATACAGACAGAAAAATACCCACAATGAATGACAAAACAAAATAAAAAACATAACAATATGTAGTAGTATAGTACACCTAGTATAAATCATTTTCACACAACACTTTTGTTTTACTGTTGCCAAAGCGACTGTCAAACAACAAAGCAAGAACACCACAGACAGTCTAAGAGCTGAAATGACTCATCAAGAGTTTCATAATCAGGAACTTGGTTACCCATTTTTTAAAGGGGGGAGGGGGGCCTGGAGCCTATGCCAGCTGACTTAGAGCGAAGGCAGGGGACACCCTGGACAGCTCGCCGGTCTATCACAGGGCTACACTTAGAGACAGACAACCAAGCACACTCACATTCACACCTACGGACAATTTAGAATCACCAATTAACCTCAACATGTTTTTGGACCTTGTGGGAGGAAGCCGGAGAACCCGGAGAGAACCCACGCTGCATGGGGAGAACATGCAAACTCCACGCAGAAAGATCTCAGGTGTCCTCACTGGGACACGAACCCAGTGCTGCAAGGCAACGCTAACCACCACGCCACCTTGCAGCCCGCTCCAGCGTCTAAAATGTTTAAATTTGCTGTTTATTTTTGTCCTGTATTGCAGTCATTTTTTTCACATTTAGAGTTTGGGCAGTTTGTCAACAAAACAAGACATTTGAGGACGTCGTTTTGGGCTCCTGGAATTTTTCAAAATTTTGTGATATGTTATCGACTAAGTGTTTAACCAATAGAGAGAATGATGATTTCTTGTTGAAGTAAATTTACGATCAATGTGTATTGTCTTTAAGAAGAATTAAATTTTGATGTAATGATCACCTTATGTTGTAATTACCAAATGCTGTAGTCCAAAACTTTAGCATTCTAATCTAATAATAGCAATAAAAGTCCACTGTAGTGTTTGTGTGGCATGTTTTAGGTGTTCTGCCAGATGTAGTGCATGACTGTGGGAAGTTCCCTGACTTGAAAAGCATTTTCAATATTGCCAAACAGAGATAAACAGTGTATTGGTATCAGAAATCCAATGACAGACCCCAACAACAAGAGAAGCTGTATAGGTTACGCTCATTCTGCTGAGGGACAGCCAAAGAAATCAACTGTTCAAAAAAACAAAAACACATATGGGTGCAAAATCTTAAATGTCTAAAACGATTTTTTTCTCTTTGTCTTGCATGAAGACAAATTAATTAACTTTATTTAATGACATCTGTAGGTTTTGGACAATTTGTCCATCAAAACAAGATATCTGAAGACATCATGTTGGGCTCTGGGCAGTTGCGGTTGTCATTTTTAAAAAAAGAAATTCCTGACATGAGATGGACTAAGTAGGTAATCAGTAGAGAAAATAATCATGCATTGCAGCTTTAAATTTACAATCACCATTTATTGTCTTTCACATGGCGAGCATTTTGATATGATTTAGTCTCTTAAGTAAAGTCTGCAGTCAAAAACTTAATGATTCCAAGTTAATCAAAGTAATAAAAATGGTGACTGCTGTGGTTTTGTTATAGGATTGTCAGTAGCAGTTCACTGACTTAAAAACCTACTTTGAATACAGCCAAACTAAGAAGTGTATCCAGATCAGACATACAAAAACAGAGTAATACACCCTGCCCTGCAGCCAATATGGCTAACACAGAGTTTATGGGTTCAGCTCCCCCTTGCTCATAGGTGGAGGCCTTATCGCAGGATTTGTAATAAAAGCAGTGAACCAGTGAAAGCACAATGGATGAGTGAAGCCTGGTGCTGACCACAGGATGGATGTTTCTGGGTGTGGCTCCTCCCTATGGCCAAACACCCCCCAACAACCCCATTTCAACTAACATACAAGGACGGAAACATCACAGGAAATCCAAAACACACGCTAAAAAATATAAAAACGAATTAAGAAAAATAGTTATTTATCATTTAAATGGTTGCCTATGTTGAAGTGCCGACAGAAACTTTTGTCCTACTGTAATGTCAGAAAACTTCAGCAGAGCTGGCTTGCATAATATAAGCTAACTATACTAGCTACACCGTATAACTCCGCAGAAAACACCACACAATAAAGTAAAACGCTCGGCTGTTTGGTGAACTTACCCTCGCTAATATCTGCTCGTCAAACCTCCCGTCGGTTAAACTTTAACTCCGTCATTTTGCTTCTTCACCATGTTGTTTTTTTTTCCTTCCTTGCGTCGAGCTTCCAGCCCAGGTGGGACCTGCCGAGAGTGTTTCTGTTACATTGCCTTTCCCCCCCCCCGTTACCCAGCTAAACCCGTTTATTGTCATGCTTGAGGCATGTTGGCGAGAATGTCAGAGAGGCGCCGGAGAGGAGAAACAGCAGCCGACGGATCCTCGCCCCGCCTCCCCTCTGTGTGTCCATGCTTGTCATGAACTCTGCACAGCTGTAATCTCGCTTTACTGCTGCTACTATCTCGGCTAATTAACGCTCCGTAAAGCACTACTGGGCCATAAAATCCCTAATCATATTCATCCGTGTTTTAAAGGTTTATTTCATTATTATATTCTTCTAAGCTTCCCCCCCTCCCTTTCTTTCTTAACACGTGTCAAGTACAGGCAGCTATGAGTAAAGGGTTGTGTCATGATGAAGGAATGCAGCACAGTTAATAAACTGTAATTAATGGCTTAATTAGGGTCCGAGGACCAAGGTCCAGGGACCCTATTGTTCCTGTCGTGTTTGTTTCTTTCTTTCTTTCTTTCTTTCTTTCTTTCTTTCTTTCTTTCTTTCTTTCTTTCTTCCTATTCTTATTATTATTCTTATTATTATTTGCTTGACGCACACAAAACCTTTAATTTCACTCCCTAAACAGGCTCAAAAACTCACCAAAATTGGCACGCACCTCCGAATCGGCGAAAAATTGGATAAGATGAAAAAAACGAACAAGAAAAGCTCTGTAGCGCCACCGAGGTAAACAAAAACACTAAAACGGCCCTAGCGGCCAGGAGGGATGTCGTACAGAGATCAAACCAACACCAAAGAGTTCGTCTCAATGAGACCCACAAATCTCGCGCTGACACCCCTCACCTATCTCCAACAGGAAGTCCGCAATGTGCCTTTCAAAGTAAAAAAAAAAAACGAGTGACAACATCTTTTGGAAAACACTATCTTGTCTGACACGTACATCGTATCAGCTTGAAAAACGCACAAGAGACAGAGGAGGCCTTGATGTACAGAAGCTCTGAAGGGATTTGGCGTTTCTCAAACGGTTTTCGAATGGCGAGCCGTTAAAGTTGATGAGCTGTCGCAGCCTGGCAGAGAGAGAAAAATGGCTCCTTCAACTTAAAGCAGGTTTAAATTGTGTCAAAATGGAGGTCAGACGGGCATGAGGTTGCAACGTCGACCGTGGACCCGACAAACGCTGCTTGCAGCTTTAATTAATAAATTACTGCTCCTTTTTAGAGCAATTATAAACTATTAACAGAAAAGGCTCCTGAAGGTATAAAAAGCCAGTGATGAAGACACTAATGGATAATCACCAGGTTATTGCAGGATGTTGGTCCAAGGCCCCAGACCATTAGAGCCAACTGTGGGTGTCATTGTACCACTTTCTAATCTCCATGGGAGGACTCAGTTCCAAACATGTGCAGTTGCTTCTGTCTATGTATTCAGATTTTTCTACTTAGACATATTACACTTACTGTACATTTTCCATTTTATATTTTCCGATTGTTTATTTTTTCTTATTTGTCAGTATTTATCGTTGTGGTAATGTTACTCTTTGTGCTGTAAGAACCAAATTTCCCCTTGGGGATTAATAAAGTATTTCTATTCTATTCTGTGCTTGCTCACTACTGCATAGCATATGAAGAGTTCCTTTGCAAAAACAGATAATTCCATCTTCACAAAGCTTTAGAAAGTCCACTTTTCCATCATCTACCGGAGACAATATCAATCTAATTTGAGTTATCTCTTTTGTAATGTCCTTTCTACTGAGTCAAATCCACTCAACTTCAGTTTGATTGATACTATTTCAAGCAAACACCAAAAAAATAAGTTTTCTGAAAATATTTTTAAAAATGGAGTTATCTGTTTTTTGCAAAATAATTCTTTGGGCTGTATGTGTGCTAAGCCCTCCATGTGGATTTGGCAAATGATTAACTTTGTGTCACAAGGTGCCTTACAGAACTGTACCACTGGCCGAAACCTTGATTATTCTCCTCTGAGGACCAACAACACAGATGTTGTTATTAGGCCAGTGTTATACGTCCACATCTGCAAGTATGCAAGATTCTGCTAGAATCCGAATGACATGAATTTCATCATATTCTGAAATCAACAAGGATGCCTCTAAGAACATCCATGTGCAGCCAAAAAATTTGCATCTACACTTCAGATGATTTAGTGCACATGCTCAGCAATAGTGCAAATACAGACCTACTGCACATGTTTTGAATGTGCCCCCCAAGTGGCCTCCAGCCAAACTAGAAAATAGTATATTAGCAGCAACAACATGCCTGTGGTGTCCATAGCTGTGAATGTGTACATCTTATTGACCGGCCTTAGACTCCTTTCTAGTCGAGGGCATGAAGAGTTCATTTGCAACAACAGATAACTCTATTTATGTAGATTTTCAGAAAACTTTTTTTTTGTTGTTGTTTGCTTGAGATAATATCAATCAAACTGAAGCTGAGTGGATTTGACTCAGTAGAAATGACATGACAAAAATAGAGATAACTTAAGTTTGATTGATATTGTCTTAGGTAGATGATGGAAAAGTGGGTTTTCTGAAGGTTTGTGAAGATGGAGTTATCTGTTTTTGCAAATGAACTCTTCATATGTTCCATACATGTGCTATTGGTTGGTGTCTATGTATTCTACACATGCCCAACACTGCCTTTGCAGACTGTTAACGGCACATTTATGATTAAGCAAAGATTTTGGGGAGATGATGAATTCATGTCATGTGGACACTAGCTGGGACCCTTGTGTAGTTGCAAATGCGGAAAGTGTAGCTCTGGCCTAAAGTCTGCACTTTGGGACTTTGAGTGTTAATGGACCTGGACATGGATAGTTATATCTTATATGAGATACTGGGTGCCCAAACTGCCAACAGATCCCATGTCTTGCAATCATTCACATGTACAATTTCATGTGCACACAAATGAAACAAGAGGAGAGACTACCGCTGTCAAAGAAACACAGTAGCTCCGTCCTAATTCAGGGCTCTTTTAAAAGGGTGCTTCCAATTGTGTTAAATGAGACAGTCCTGGCATATGAAGAACTTCCTGGTTGCACCCTCAGCTGTTCCTGTTCTTACCCTTTTGTTGTTTAGGGCCACTCCTGTTGCCTAGCAACTCCAACAGCCGAAACTGACGCTCTTAGACAGAAGTAAAAGAAGAAGTAGTTTCAGCAAGATGAAGCTATGATTTTTTTTTCTGTATTTTATACTTGGGGAGCTGGAAGTGCCAGAGGTGGCGTATCTCAGGCTGAAAGAGGATGGTGGACGGGTAAAAGGAAGATAGGTTTGTAATGTTAACATTGGATCTTCAAAAGACGCTTTCATCCAGTTAAGATTCAGAACCACTCGTGTACATAAGTATTAAGTATTCCAGAGCAAAATGATTCAGGGTGCATCTGGAATTTGTAGTGGTGGACAACGGTAGTCTTAACATGCAATTACATATAACTTAATGTCCCTCTGTTGTAAAAGTAAAGGTTTGATATTTGTTGTAGCTGAAAATTCAAAACCAGACAAGTGTTGGCAGATGTTTACACGTTTTGTATGTCCTTGTTTAGGCCGACTATATCTGAAAATTAGACTGTAATCAGCATAAAATGTGGATGGGTTAAATCTAAATCAACAATGGTAACAGTTATAAAAAAAAATAGTGAGTCACAGGTACCAAGTGTGGTCTCCAAATACCTGATTACATAACTGGATATAGGTGTAAACAAGTGAAATACAGAATTAGTCAAAATTCTCTGCAAATGTGGCAAAATATGACATTGTGTTTGCAAGAACACTATTATCATTCTCTGTTTTAAAATCATGAGCTCCAACTAGTTGTGTAGTTTTAGACTTACTTGAACAGGCTCTTCTTCACTGAAGACTTCTGGCACTTGTTGAATCAGTCATCAGGTGGGGGTGAGTCAGGCGGTGGGAGTGAGCTGGTGGTAGTAGGAGCTAACACAACTTCACTGCAGTGTTTATAATGACTTTGATGCTGGTAACCAAACAAACACACTTAGTCAGTACACTTAATCTATTTCAAGTTTTAAGCCATAAATACTGGTACGGTAAGTGAAGATAAACATGCATTTCTGCAAGATAAACAAAATAATCTAATGTTCTGGTAAAGTCCAACTTGATACGAATTAAGTTTGTGGTTTGGATTTGTACAAGAATATTTAACTAAAGAGCACATAGTCTCGTCCTATTCTCTTCCAGGACACAGCCAAGTAGGCGGTATCTGTGTCCACATCCTCTAATGAAAAAGGCATCCCTGAAAGCCCACATGACCAACGCATGACTAAAATCATCATCTATGACGTCATCTGAAACTCACCAAAGCCTGTTGATACAGAAATGTGTGGTTTGGGACCTTGTCATTCATTATTGCTGCAGTACTCTCCTTAAGATGCCAAATCTGAGACTTTCAGGAGGGCGAGTTACCCGCTGACTAAGCTGTAGAGGAGGCTGCCTGCCATTACATGTTACTGAGTTACTAGATTTGATGATGCTTGGGGTGTTTCTCTGTTCTTTTGAGCGAGAACGTGTGCAGGTGCTTGTAATTAAAAGATTGTTTGGACAAACTGAGATATGTGATATAACTTATGTTTTGTTTTTTCTTGTGTGGTTTCCTGGACACCTCAGCTGCCCTCTGCTTCTGATTTGAGTCATTACTTCACCAAGTATGAGTCATTTACAATGGGAACGCTTGTTCTGGGTGGCAGTTTTACTAATTGCATAAGTAGCTACTGTTCAAAGTTAGACGTGTTCTGTTTGATAGATTGATTGGATGTTATCGTGGGCAGCGCATGGGGCACGGCCACTTGACCCGAATCCAAGCTAATCGTCTGGCATTGTGGTAATTTAATTAGCTTAATACAAATTTATTTGGTTACATGCTCAACTAAGCACAATATAAACTAAAATAAGGTAACTGATCTTAGGTATCTTGTTGTAAAGGGGCCCCAATTAAAATCTAGTTGCATGACCTTTATTATTTCAGTAAATATTTTGCTTCCATGGTGCACGTTGCTAAGTAACATTTAGTCGTGTTTAATGTTTAGCCAAATTGAATAGTAATTAATATTTTCTGCATACACAAAAATATGGATAGTCAAGTAGTAGG